CATATAAAATAATACATCAGCCAAAGGGACCAACCGGTACTTTTACTTACTTTAATACTTAAAATGCATTCTGGAGCTATGTACTCTTACCTAAATGGGATTTTTTCCATACAAAACTGGTAAAAATATAATTGTTTGAAATGGCTTCACTTGTTGATGTGCGTTCATCTAGTATGGCAAAATCTTGAAATGTTTTTGTGATTGCTCACGTCATTGTTTCGAAGTAACAGTTGCAGGCTTTTATTTTTAAAGACTCAACAAGTAACTGCTGGTGTCATTGCGGTTCGCTTAGCACAGCTACTTTTACATTCAGGAATGACAACATTGAGAAGTCAAACAGTTAAACAGTGTCACCTACAGGTAAAAGCAAGACAGGCCTGATATTCATAAAAATCGAGAGAAATGTGTGGCTCTTAGTTGCCAAAAAAAAAACAAAAAAACCCAGCAAAGAACTAGCAATTACAACACTAAAAAAAAAAAAAAAAAATCAAAACAAGCAATTATGCAATCTACATTCATATTGAATGACTTGTTCTGAGACAATATTGCAGAACGATTAACTTGATTATTGTGGCTAAGGCGTATTGACTAAAGTAACAAATGTGATCTGAACTTCCAGTGCTCATATGTGACCTATAACATTTTCAGTGATGTGCCCATTTTCAAAATCCAAACAGACGCATTGCACCACTTACCACGTTAAAAAAAAAAAAAAAGAAAAGAAAAAAAGAAGGCTATGTCCTTAGTCGACCTACCGACGTGAAACTGCGCTGGAGGCACAGTTACATGTTGTTGACATTTCCATTATGCAATCTATAGAAGTATTAGGATAAGATAAGGTACACAATTTCAGCGGTAATTATTCTCTTGTCTGCATGAAACCAATAATTACTGTGCAAACAGAAAATTATTTGTCCACAAGATGTCAGCAAAATACAGTCTGCAGAGCTGCCTGTCAGAGGGAGAGGACTGTGTTATCTGCCGTAGTTTCATCAGTGGGTGCAACTATTCTGCATAATCACAATATTTTCTCACATATGATGACAAATATGATGCAGTTATGTGAATTATCATAATAATTCATGTTTGTTACCAGACACCACATTGTGTCATTTGAATGCAAATACATGATCCTGTTAAGTCAATGCTTAAAGTGGCACGATCAGTGTACAATGTGTTTCAAAACAGAGTGCACGATCTTGTTTTCAAAAGAATAAACACATAAATATAAAGGAATTATTGCTTGAAGGAATAGGTAGTTAAAGTAACAGAATTATGTCCCGGGGATAGAAGTGGAGATGATGCACCGTAATTGAACGGAATCAACACATTATATGGCTGGGAACCTTCTCAAACCCCCCCAACCCCCTAAAGGGCCCCCAAACGTCTCCGCACCCTACTTTGAGCCACCACCGCCTTAATGAAAAGATCCATTCTGCTACAGAAGGTGTCAGTACAGTCCTGTAATTTAAAGCCCGCCTCCTCAACGCTTTAAACCAATGAAACAAAGGCCGGTGAGCAATTTGACCAATCACACACGAGTTTCTTCTCATTTGTGACCAATCAGGTTCGAGCGCCGACTCCTCTTTTCACAGCCCCTTTTCTGACCAATCAGGAGCGAGGCCGCCTGCGCAGAGGGCTGGGCGCGAGAATCGGCGGGATGGACAAAAATCATAGAAGCAGAGAGCAGAAAGATAATGATAGAAACAGTCCGGGCGGTGACTAATGAAAGTAACGTAGACGTCCCTCCAGTTTAACAGCGGCGTTTTAAGGTTGTGATTATACCTTTTAGGAAACACGTATCAGAAGAGGACACGGCGACGCCTTTCTTTGGAAAGACGTTATCTGCGGTGGATATGGCTTTAACCGACAGAGCGTAAAGTTATGTACTGTACGTTACGTTAGCTCGCTGGCTAGCCGAACACTGCCAGTTAGCTGCTGCCGCGTCTCACCACTAACCGGCAATGACTGACAGCGGTTTCTATGGATACACATCTATTAATGTGGGATTTTAGAGAACTGCCAAACACAGGTTCGTCTTTGAAAAGGTTCAAACGTCCCACCGACTGTCATGGACAACGTGAAAACACGCAGGTGGGTGCCGGTGATAATGATAATAATAACGGTAATAATAGTAACATTGCAGTGATGTGTCATTACCCGTTAACTAACTAGCTATCCGTTTGTTTATGCACCTCCAGTAAAAAAATAACTTAATGTGACTTTTGTGTCCTGTAAATACAATGTGGGCGTTCACTTCATGCACTTTCATTATTTGTACCGCTTGTGCACCTGCAGTCACAAGGTCCACTTTTGAGCTTTATAAATGGTAGTTAATGAATACTTAGAACGGTTGATTTTTAATCGCACACCAGACGGCTGAAAATAAGTGTGAACTGGGAATATTTTATCCGATTATTTTAGGTTAAAAAGTATAGCTTTTACATTTAGACATTGATGGAAACCTTATTATGCATATGGTAATATTTCACATTGAATAAGAGGCGCGCTGCTTATTGTCAAACAGCTGTTATGTAACAGCAGCTTCCCTGAAAACAGATTACATCAAAGTGACGAGTTTGCCAGATTTGTTGCGATAAACAGCCTTATTGCTGGTCAGATTCTGTTTTCTTCGTGCAAAAAGAACACATTAAAAGCTGCTTAGGCTAAAAAAAATGTGTGCTGTAATTATACATTGCAATTTTTATTATTTAGTCTTTTGGAGTCTCTGTGGTTCTGCCATAAGAGAGAGAAAAAAAGCTAGTGAAAAAAGTACCTAGAAGTTCCCAAAGGACTACCCCCAAGATCAAAAAGTACCAGAGAAACTAAAACCAAGGTAGGCAGAGCATCATTTACTTGTATCCAGCAACAAGTAGGTTAGTAATAATAATAATAGCTGCAATTAAGTCAAGCAGTTTGGAAACCATAACTTGTTTAATTATTTGATTGGCATATTAATTATCAACATTTTTAAAAAATGATTTTAGTCATTCATCACGCAAAAAGCAAAACATTTCTGTTCCAGCTATTTAAATATGATAATTTTTTATAGGCTTTCAGGTTTTGGGCTGCTGTTATACATAACAAGCAATCCAAAGATATAACAGTGGGATATTGTGTTGGGTATTTTATAAACTAAACACTCATTGATATAACAAAACCAAAAGATTCATCAGCAATCAAAACTTTTTTCTTTTTTTTTGTTGGAGGATTATTACAGATTATGATCAGTTCACCACCAAAACAACACCGATATGTTGTTTGATATGAAGTATTATTTACTCTTGAATCAACAGCATTTGTCTCATCTCCATTACATATCCCTCCCTCCCTCTGTTCACATCCTTGAAGACATGGGTGTGTCTTTTCTTTTGCAGTTTGAACAACTTAGAGTTTGACCTGGAAAATCTAAATCATGTAACTCACAATATCCTATTAACCGCATATGACTACTGACGTATTCCTAATTCAGGAAACACTGACGTAAATGCCTGGCACACTGATACTTGTTTTTGTGTTTTTCTGCTTTTCAGCTGAGTCATTTTTAATATTCGTATTATTGCCAAAGTTAAGAAATTAATAAATAACACGCTAAACTCAAGTAGTTATATAAGTATGCCTCTTTTTTTTTTCAAACTTTTTGAAAAACTGGGCCGTTAGTGCTTTGCCATTCCCCTGACCACACCCCAGCACACCTCCTCCACCTCATCCACACACACACACACACACACACTCATACATGCCTGGAAGTGAAAGAGCCTGTTGATGTAGGTTGCCCCTTTCCTCCAGTCACCTTACGCCCCTCCTTTCTGTTCAGCCATAGGTCCAGACTCAGTTCACACTACTCTTTGCTCTTGTGAGGGAATCAGGCCACACCAAAATTCAAATGCCATATTCAAGCTTGCACACTCAAGAAGACCTTTCATGCGCACTCTGATAGAAACTCTGAGGAAAGCACCTTTTTTTCCTGTGTGTGTGCGATCGTAAAGGTCTGCAGTATGGTAGCAGCTCTAGGGAACTGCTTGGGAATTTAATTTCTCTTCCATTTATTAAAGTCTGCCCCAGCACCACAAAGAAAGTGTTGCCTAGCAGCAGGCTTTATGGGAACACAAAAGTACAATGATACCTGTGAACTTTTTGTGGCATTAGTAATTACATTTTGTGTTACCAGCAGATATAGATGAAATATTACAACTTTCTTTTGTACTCAGACATCATTTGTCAAAAATATAGTTTGATAAAGTCGGTGGCTTTGTGCCAGATAGATAGACTCACCCATTTATCCATCAGTTTGTTTAACTTATTCATTAGTATTTAGGACAATATGCTGCCTTGCTGTAGTCTGAATGAATATTGTTAAGACATTCAAAGTCAATACTGTAATATTTGTTTAGTTCTAATATCAGTTGGCGAGCAGCATTTACCAGGCTGCTTGAATCACTTGTAGTCTCAATGGAACACGTGAAAGCCTTTTGTTATTCCCATCAGTGTTTATAGATTGTCTTTTTTTATCATTTTTTGTCTTGCTTGTTTTGCTGCGACATCAACAGAGAAGTGTTCACTGTGAGATATAGAGTTTACAGTGTTTTGCCTGTACAAACTTGTCAGATAAAATTGCTAGCAGCTTTCTTTTTTTTTTTTTTTAGCAGTGACTACTTCTTTCAGTTGAAGAGCCTGTCAACCTACTTTAAGTAACAAGATCATTTAAATACTCACTCTAAAGCTGGGCCTGAGTTTCCTCCTGCAGTAATGGTTAAACCTGTTGCATCCCTCTGGGGTAATTTCTTTTACCTTGAGATTACAGTTATAATTTCTAAGCATAGATTTGTGCATATATATTACAAGAAGTATACAGTTTAGATGTAATCTCTGGATACACCTTTACTACATACTGGGGAAAAAATACTCCCACTACTGACACTATAGTGGTTGTTTCCACATGATGAGATTTTCTTAACCTGACAGGCAGTTGCCTTATGAAGACTTGGGCTCCATTAATCATGTCTTACTCCCTGTTGACCCTGTATGTTTTTAGCAATGATGAGGATGAAGAGCTGTACTCCACTGATCCAGAGAGTAAAGAGAAGAGCAAAGACAAAAAGACACTGTGCAAAGTCAAGTGGTCACGAGATGAGGTAAGTTTATCAAAGATATGCATGGGGTCTGGACTGGAAATCTGTTGTTTACGCATTTTTCTCGTCTTGCAAATTGGAATGTGCTTATGTTTATGATTCTCATATCTAAATAATCACTGCTTGTTTTATTCAATAGTACAATAAAAGAGCACAATGTAAAAATGTTTTGCTGGATGTCTTTCATTCTCTCTGTAACGTCTTTTTCCATTCCTCTCTATTTAAAGGATGAAAAGCTGAAAAAACTTGTTGAGCAACATGGAACTGACTCCTGGAAATTAATTGCTAACTTTTTCCCAGTAAGTACAGTGTATCTACATTGTATAGTATGTTTTAGTCAGAAACTTTTGTTTTGTCTAACCACAGGAGCTAACATTTAAGTCATAAATGCTGTGACCGGAGAGGCAGATTTGTTTGCAGCTGGTTAGGGGTAGGTGTAACTGGGGTGGTGGTGTGGTGTACTGAGGTGTTGCACTTTGTGTGTCTCTATCACAGGGGAGGACAGATGGTCAGTGTCAGCACCGCTGGCAGAAGGTGCTCAACCCAGAGCTCGTGAAAGGTCCCTGGACAAAAGAGGAGGATCAGAAGGTAAGATGAGCTGGGAGTTCCTGTTCTGGATAGAAAGAGGGATGACAAAATAGGTAAATGATAGGGGAGACCGAGGTAAACTGCAGGGAGTCCAGAAAGGAGCTTAGTCTGAGAGAAAGAACACAATACAAACACAAATGTCACAAAATGCAATGTATCTTTTACCTTCAGACTAACAGGGCTGTGCACATGCGCAAAGTTACTTCCCGCCACTTTGCCTTAGCTTCTTTTTTTTTTTTCTTTTTCTTTTTTGTGAAGCCAATGCTCCACTACGTAATTCCTAATAAAAACACAGACTTTCCAAGTCGGTAGTTCAGCGTCCAGCCCTTTTTAGTACAGAGTGAAGCTCTAATATCTTCCGCAGCTCTTAGATGAGCAATGCATTCCTTAAATGGATTACTATTGTTCAAGAATGTCAAGAATGATGTCTCATTCCTGCAAAATGTTGGCATCATAACAGAAACACAGAGCTATCAATAACAGCCTGGCCTGCCAACAATGACATCACAACATTTTTCAGGACTGATGGAAACAGCAAAACAAGCTCTGCTGCTGCCACAGTGAAGGCTTTCTAAACACTGGCGCTGCTCTATACATGAGAAATCTTTATACAAGCTTGTAGTTTCAATAAATCCATTAGGGACTTCCTTTATCCTTTCAGAAAAAAAACAACAACAGAGAACATTACTGGAATATGCAGCAGTGTGTGGGTTATAAATTCCTGATTTGAAAATTAAAACAAAATATTCTACAACTTAATACCCCCCATGTGATGGTGTTTGTGCAGGTTATTGACCTTGTGCACAAGTATGGCCCCAAGCGCTGGTCAGTGATTGCAAAGCATCTTCAGGGAAGGATTGGAAAGCAGTGTCGTGAACGGTGGCACAATCACCTCAACCCAGAGGTGAAGAAGTCTTCATGGACGCAGGAGGAGGATCGAATCATCTATGAAGCCCACAAACGGCTTGGCAACCGCTGGGCAGAGATCTCCAAGCTTCTTCCTGGACGGTAATGTAACATCGCACACACACACACACACGTATCTCTGCTTTTAGTTTGAGTGACGAAACAGGAAATATGCTCAAAAACATCAATTCTTCCCCCAACAGGACAGACAACTCCATCAAGAACCACTGGAATTCCACCATGAGGAGAAAGGTGGAGCACGAGGGGTACCTGCAAGATGGCTGCAAGACTTTTACTTCCTCTACAGGTGTGAAGAGACGCCACAACAGACCGTGTCCTCCAACTCCAACAGAGCCACAGCACTGTGAACGCAGTCCTCTGCCTATGACAGGCCCCAACCAGGTTTGTTTTTAATCTGCCTTTCACATATATGGTGTTCTAAATATTTGTGCTCTCTGCTGAGTTCTACCTGAGTGTGATGCTCTGTGTTGTAGATGGCTGGTTATCCCTATGATCCTCACAGTGGACACATGATGGACAGTCTGCCTGAAAATTCAGGGTTCTTATCAGTGAGTTTTTCTATGTGTATTTCTGTGCATGCAAATGGGGAAAGCTTTTCACATTCTTTATTTTCTCGTCTTTCTGTAGTCATACTTGTGATTGCTAACACTGGACCTCAAATCAAATACTTGAATGTCCTGTTTTTTTCACCTAACATTCAATAACAGATCAAAGGGGGGCATATCAGTTCTCCTGTAAATGTTTTATGTGTAAATTTGTTATGTTTTTTTGTCTCTTTTCCCTGATTTTCTTAACTCTCTTAACTCTTTCCTTTCCTCTTTTCCTCTTGACCTCTCCTCCTCGACGTTTGTTTATTCCAGCCATCCTGCCTGGATGATCCTGACAGAGAGCAAAGAATTAAGGAGCTTGAGCTGCTGCTTATGTCAGCAGAGAATGAAGTCCAACGACAAATGCAGTGCAGAGGTTCATGTGTAAGAACACACTCTGAATGTGTGTTAGCATAGCTGTCAGCATAGCCTGCGTGTGTTTGTAGCTTACATACACTGTAAAAAGGGTCATTTTTATAATAAATTTTGGTTTATTTATTCCTCAGCTTGACTGAGCATTGACTCTTAAAATCAAATCAGAATGAGATAAACAAAGAATGATACTTATATTACTGTTATACACTTTGGCTTGATGAAAGATATTGACACTATCAATGATTTTAAATGCCATCCACTTGATGGAGTTGTTCTTTGCTGCAAGCAAATAAAAAGAACAAAAAAACACTTGACTTTACGTCATGGACTTTTTGCAGTGTATACGTGTGAAAACAAGAATGGTGCACATGTATGCGTGCCTGTAGCCTCATTTTCTGTAGTTTTGCTACATAACTACTTTCTCCATCTTGCTACTTACTCAGACTGGCCTGAAGCTGTGCTTGGTAGTCGCCCTACCTTCCGCCGTTACTACAGTTTCAAACATGAACCCGCTCCCTCATCCCCTTTGTCCTCACCCACTCGCCAAGCCCACGCTCAGCCAGCAGTTTGATTTTGACCCCCAGCACTCTGTCTCTGCTGTTCCAGTTCTGTCCACATTGACATTGTTTTCACATTCCATACACTGCATTCATTTATTACCCCATTCTTCACAGTCAGTGACTCCATATTGTACCATTTAGTCATCAAAAACGGCCTTCTATGTTGTAGTATCACCAGTGTTTTTTTCACACATTCCCAATTACAGCATCATTTGATGCAAATTAACGATAATGTTACACCGCATCTACCAATTTCACATCATCAACTCAGACAACAGTTGGTGCAGGAGCCAAAGATCTGACACTAATATCCTTTCCTTCTTGTCCCTCAGAGTTTGGAGCCGTACCCAGCCTGGTCAGACAGTGTGTCAGATGACACTCTGACCACAAGTAGCAGCAACCTGGAGGAGCCAGCAGAGAGAAGACCGTGGAGGGGCCCAGAGATCCCACAGGGACCCCCAGCACAGCTTCCTGTCTCCCCCAGCAAGTTCCTGGCTGCAGAGGCCAGCACTGTGCTCTCCACCCTGCAGACCATACCAGAGTTTGCAGAGACCATGGAGCTCATTGATTCAGTGAGTAACAGAAGGAGCAAAACAGAGAACAAATGCATCTCTGTATGAATTTGTTGACCAAATATCATGAATGTATTAAAGATCTACTGTAGATGTGTTTTGCTCTGCAGGACCCTGTTGCATGGAGCGATGTGGCCAGTTTTGATTTGTCAGAGACAGCGACACCTTCCCGGCACAACCAGGCAGGCTACGCCACTCTTTTGCAAGAGAGGACAGTTTATGATTCAATGGGCTACACAGTCAACCCTCCGTCTGCCGTCTCAGGCCATGACAGGAACTGTGCTCAGTTTGATCCTGGAGATGTTTCCTCCCTGACTCCCATCAATTCATCCAAACCCACCCAGGCATCCACTGGAAGGAGAAGGAGAAGAGAGAGGGGGGAACTGTCTCCTTTGTGTGACAGGACTTGCTCCTCTTTTTTGGAAAACATCTCAAACTCTCCCAAGAAAACGCCCACAAAGTCACTGCCATTTACGCCGTCACGAGTAAATAAAACCTGTTTTGCTTCCTTCACACACCATAATTATCACATCAGCTGACTGTTGTGAGTAGTTTTAGTTGGTGTTGTATCTGTCTTGTTATTAATATGCCATGTCTGTCTGTTTTCCCAGTTTTGCAACATATCAGGAACTGAGCATCTGAATCTGGATAACCCTGCCCTCACCTCAACTCCTGTGTGTGGTCAAAGGTGCCTCCTCAACACACCCCTCCAGAAAGAAACCACACCTAAGCACCAGAAAGAGAATGATGGGTAAATAAATCATTAGTTTAAAAAAAAAAAAGTATGCAAGAAGATGTTATTGTTTGAAAATATTATAATGACAATGACAACTTTGTAGTTCCAGGACTCCCAAATTCCGTAAAACCATCACGATTCCAACACCGAGGACACCAACGCCCTTCAAAAATGCTTTGGCTGCACAGGAGAAAATGCACGGGCCTCTGAAGATGGAGGTAAATTGTCAAATTTTGGTGTGAGCAACTAGCCCCATGGCCGCGGTTGTACTCATCCGTTTGTGTTTTGCAGCCACAGCCACTGGCATTTCTAGAAGAAGACATTCGGGAGGTCCTGAAGCAGGAAACTGGAACAGACATCTTCAACAGAACAGACATCCATCCAGACTACAGAGCATGGAAACAGAATGTATGAATAAACAGACACCTTTCAGTACACCAACTTCTTTACTTGCTATCGAGTTTTTAGCAAATATTTACAGTTACACTTATTAATGTTATTTCAATATTGGATTTTCAAACGCAGATGGATGGTCCAGCCAGAAAAGTGCGCAAGTCGCTTGTACTAGACCCGTGGGACAAAGACAGTCTCAATGTGCAACTCTTCCAAGAGCAGCTCAACGATACACAGGTAAGTCACTCTGACGTCACTAAAACGTCTGGTTCAGATCCAAATGGTCTCAAAATTAAATCAGTACCACAGATGTGTACTTGAGTAGGACATCTAACCCCAAACAGCTACACATGAGCTAAGATGTGGTTGTGCAGAAAAACCCATACATGCAACTGTACAAATGGAAGTTGTTATGTTGGTCGACCATGCATTTTTTCAACCTTTGGAAATTTCTCAAATTTTTCTATTCTGTTTTAAATTTGGGATCACCATTGCTTTCATTGATAAAATGAGAGTTACAAGACACCAAGGGGGGTCGCGATATGATCCAGGAATTAAATAGAATTTAAAAACAATAGAAAATAGTATATTTTTGCTGTAATTGTTAGACAAGATAAAAATCAATGTTGTGCTCGTTACACAAGAACATACAACATGTTAGTCTGCTGCTGCTCCATAGTGTATTTTCACTCAGTACTAACAGGGCAGCTGTGGCTCTGGTGGTAGAGCAGGTCGTCCACTAATGGCAGGGTTGACTAGATCATTGTGTTCTGTGTTGTTGTCAAGCCCGTGTTTGGACAGGCCTATTAGTGCCTGCACACAAAGCATTTGTGTGCCATTGTATTTTTTGGAGGGTATCAGGGGCTGCAAAGTTTGAAAACAACATCATTCATATGTTGCAGGTTACGGATGAAAGTCTGATAACAAGCTCTTCGCTGGTGACTTCGATCCCTGAGCAAGAGGAGTGTAGCCGCTCTTTGACTACAGGGAAAGAGGAGTCCTCATTAGGAGTCTCCATTCATCCTCAGCGCTTTACCAGCCCCCGGGTGAAGAGGCTTCCGTCCTTCCACAAAGCATCCAAACACACCACCACACAGGTATGTTGAAACCAAACTAAACCCTGTATAAAACGTTTAATTCCTCAAGATGATTTCTCTTTGTTTCTATGTGCCATTTATAAAGTATAGAAAGAAAATGTCAAGGTCTCTATCAAAGGAGCACATCAAGTGTAAATCTGACAGTAGGTAAAGGATAGAATAGATGAATGTTGTGTGTTATTTGGTCACAGTATCCATTGTTCACCTCCTCTGCAGGTGAGTGAGTGGGAAGCAGTGGTTTACGGGAAGACAGAGGACCAGCTGATCATGACAGAACAGGCTCGTCAGTACCTGAATCCCTACCCGTCGTCCGGCTCTACCTCAAGGGCCCTCGTGCTTTAAAGCCGTC